TTAACATCCAGTTAGTTTCATTTACATTAGTACATCACACTCCCTCGGTTATTATTTATAAATGTTACGTAACAATGAAATACTGGTTGAAACAGAGCACCGAATCGAAACATTTGAACTTTGTTTCATATCTATAGTTTTTAAAATGTATTTGAGTTATTTAGGTAGGAAGTCAGATTTTTTTTATTTTGTCTAGTAAAATCGCTTAAGTCCTGGACAGATTGTTAGTGATTCTGGGGGCGTCAACTCTAGTAATTAGTTCAGTAAGTGTAATGCATGTTTTGCTCGAGATGTGGCGGTGGTCTTCCCCCACTGTATGGCGAAATCCGGCGCCGACCTACCGTCGGATACAGGGGTTTCCCCCAGCCAGGTATCTCCCACCAGCGGGGCACCGCCCCAGCCGGGACAAGCTCTGAGCTCCCGATCGGTCACCCGGCATGTGTGCTAGTGTAGTGCATATTAGTGTAACTGTCTGTTAAGAGTGAGGATAGGCAGGAAGAGGAAGGAAGAGGTAGGAAAGATCGCACGCTGTTCTTGGCCCGTTTGTAATGGTACTGTTCCGGTATTCGCCTGGTGTTGATCAGAAAACCAAGAAAAACTACCGATTATTGCAGCCGGCCGCTAGAATTGTCCCCCAGTCAGCGCCAGAATCCGACGTAGCTAACAATTTTGTGTCGAAAATCCTGACACCGTCGGGTCTCGAACTTAGGACCCCACGAAGAGAGGGACTGCAGATATATCAGTTGATACCCTGAGCCATCCCCATTTTGAAGTCCTGGAGTTTGTGCATACTACTACATTATCAATTGAAGTGATTTAATGCAATAATAATAATAATAATAATAATAATAATAATAATAATAATAAAATTAATATTACAATATTTGAAGTAAAAATGCAAGAAGTTAATGCACTTAATCAATTTGGATTATTGATCAGCATCTGCCATTGATGCGACAAAGTTAGATACAAATCCCAGTTAGTAGGTGGCTAAAGGTGTAGTAAAAATTTAAACTAATTCTAAAGAAGTCGTCTAAGTCTTCTTCCTTTATGATTAAAACGTGCTTCTCCTTTAACTTTCTTTGCCCTTATTACATCTTTCCTCTCTTTGGTTTACGTCTCTTCCACTAGGTTCTTTCTATATCAGATGTAAAATCCATTTATTAGCTGTTACTCTCCCCTTGCTTGCTCAAATTCACAACACAAGGGACGTATTTGTACGTACACAAGAACAGGTTATATACTAGAACTTCCAGAACAAAAATACTGGTTATGCAGAATAACCACATTCACAAAACAAACTATCACCCCTTGCAGATTGAGATAGCTGGGTTTGAGAAATAATCACGGAGAAAACTTACATTTGAAGCTCTGTGGTTGTTTTTACCAAAAAGACTCTGGACAATGGTACTTTTATCAAAATCATTCATATGTTCGGAGTAATAACTACTGACAGGGGCTGACTGTTCACAACCAGACAGTCAGCAAGTCAGCAAATGTCGACTATGAAGCTCTAACAACAGTTCTAGTATCTCAAAGTCAGTTTTTGGACTAAGGTTTTTTTAAAAATAAATCCTTCAATTACCAGAGGTAAACCGTCAAAAATGACGAGACGATATTAAACTCCCATATTAATAATTCATATAACGAATATTAAAACAATTCAATTTCTTTAATATTAAATTTAAGTTTTGTGTTTTTCAAAACTTTACTTTATTGAAAGTAATAGGTACTGACCAAAGTCCATTAGGGTTCAACGAAGAGATTTTGTGACCAGAAAGGGGAAACCAGATTAAAGTTTGTGTCATTTGCGATTGTCACCAAGAAAGAATCGAAATTGCTTCCTCTAGTATTTGTCGAAGTCGTTTAGACAGTACGTTCTCGGAATCCAACACCATGTTCCCGAAATCGCATGTATGAGCGCGCAGCCCGCAGGGTCGGGCAACTTCAAATCATTCGCTTGGGAGCATGGAGGTAGGTCTTATCTACTCGGGACTTATCCTGTCGACAGTATTTTAATTACATTTTATTTATTTTTTCGTTAAAAAAATTGTATTGTGACCAACGTTCACACCTATAAATCAGTATTTTTGGTCAATTTTACTGATTGGCAGTGCATTTAGTTCAATCTGCCAGTGCCTTTACAAATTCAGCTCCTGTGCCTTGTCCATAATCACCAACGTGTGTCCCTGACAGGTCGCCGCCAGGGTTATTTAATCCATTTACCACTGCAGAACTGGATTTCCTAGTCGTGCGATTGTCTGGGAGTGCGTGCGCCGCAACTTCCCGCACATATGTGTAAAGGCAATTGCCGCCCCCTTCGCACAAATTGCGAAACAGAATTGCGCGCCGCGAAAACTACAAAATTTTACTGCAGATATCATTCCAACTGCACATTTTGTATGTTTTTTTATTGTTTATGGAGAAGTGTTATCCGAATAATCATTTTAGGCAGTATATCCTTAACTCATAACTAATAATATGAAACTAGCTTTTATCTTGCTTCAGTTCCTCAAACTTCACGATTCAATGTTGGGGACAGAGGAAATGATGTTATAGACGTTATGTTATAGAAATTATGTTATCTCCTCCCCCACATGTCACATACAGTTTTTACTGTTTTTGACTAAATAAATCTAAATCGAAGATTTTTCGTCTTAAACTAAGTCACTGGACAGTAAAATATAGAGGAAGAAATTCATTTTTGAACATGATTTTTTGCGTTTCTTAAAGACATTATTGCATAATGAAGTGTGCATTAAAAAATGTCTCTAGTTTTACCTTCTATGTAGAAAAAATATTGAGTAGACAAATTCTAAAGAACCGAGTACAATTTGAATTATCGGGGAGCGTAGAGTTTCATTTGCATACCGACGATGTTGTCGCGGACAGCGACGTCTTATTTCACTTCGGAATCGCCTCAAACACACCAAATGAACCTCTTCTAGTGTTTTGAACAAAAATATTAGCCCGATGTAGTATTCGAGCTTGAACATCACAGGTGCCGCGATCAACGCTATTATCTATTTTATTGCTGCGCTGGTTAGCAATGTCTAATCATGACTAGAGAGCGGATATTGATATCCTAAAATATTGTCAAACATTATCAATAAAATACTCTTAAAATGTTTTTAAAATGCCCTAAAAACAAATAAAAATGACGTAAAAAAATTTGATCAAAAACACTGCAGATAAACAACTCATGTTGTTGGATATGTTACTGATGTAACAGAGGTTTCTTCATTTTTTGTTCCATTGAACTCAGTTTGCAAACTTTACGTTTGAACTGTTCTTGAAAAGAAAATTTGTCTTTATTTCTTGTGAAATCGGCCAAACTGACAATGGCGCCGCCAGGAGTCACAGGAACTTTAGATTACATAGCACTCGCAATGGCTGACATTACAACATATGAGTGAAGAAATCGAAAGGCTACTCACGAATTCTATGGTGAACATTTCATGCATCTCGTAAATATTGTTTGAAGTACCATTAAAATGATATTAAAATCGATTAAATAAGCGAAAAATGCATTTAAAAAAGACGTAAAACGGTAAAAATCACTTAGTCAAAATTGACGGAAAATGAAAAAAAAATTTAAAAAAACACCATAAAACTGGGTCATTTCCTTTTGTCATAATATGAAATGAAATTCAATGCTAAAAGGAATTGTTCTATAATTAAAAGAAAAAAATTACATTTCATTAAAATACGGTCCTTAATCGTGACTCAAAACACAAATTATAAGTTACGAAACTTTAGAATTTAGAGGTGTTAATGAAAAGGGGATTTATGCTATATTATTAAACGATCCTCATTCTACTCGAGCAAAAGACTTTAAGAACACACTTGAGCAGTTTTCTTTTAACATTTCGAAATGTCATGGAGAATTATTGTAAAGTAACCCCAAAAATTAAGTATCCGTTTGAGATTTGGGTGGACGCGGCGTCACCTAGATCGATCGAAGAATATATATTTTGTGGTATCACCTCAGAGTGGTAAAAACATTGTGAATATTTCGCGTTTAAGCTTACTGAAAATTTAAATTTCCCGCCCTAAATTAACATTTTGATGTTATTATTGAGTGTAATTCTCACATATTTCAGGCGTTAAAAATGTTAACAATATGCATAGTAAAAATAAAAATAGAAAACCAGTTTTAGAAATGGGGAGGAAAGGAGCTGGGGTCTGAAATTCAGCTGATTTTATGTTTTTCTTGGTATCAAACTTATTCCACACAAACTTGGTGCAAAATTCAAAATCATTGTTAGTTCACAGTGTTGAAGGGTGTGGTTAGAGGAGCATTCTTCGGGAAGTTGAATATAAAGCGAAGAGTTGCATCCATTCGTTTTTATCCTCAGTTACCAATTTTCGGAATTAAACAAGTATTTCCTGACACTCTTCAATCACAGGGTAATGGTACTTTAATTATTAGAATGATACAAAGTTTTCAATTCGTCATTTTGACATTTCTTCACAAAGTCATAAATAATTTATCTGAAGGTAACAACCAGAGGCGGATTCCCAAAAGAACATTAAAAGACTTTCAAATTGTCGCTTCAGGAACATGTAAATAAAAATGCCGTATAATTTTTACGTCATAAAACCCTCACTTCATAACTATTTTTTTAATAAAGTTCAGTATGCTGTGCTTAATATATTTCACATGAATAAATGCGACCAATATAGACACTCACTGTTCACTGACATTTTAATTTCCATTATCACAAATTACGTATAAATAATCGGGTACCTTTGGTTTTCCTCTGGATCCACCACTGGTTGAAACTTTATCTTTGGTTTTATTTATAATATTCCTGCACAAATTTGTTGCACTCAAAACATGGTAGTACACAGCACAACAAATATGATAATAAACAGGGCAAATATAGGAATGGGAAATATCAAAACACTTTATTTAAACGAATAATTTGACATGTTATTCTAGACCATTCTCAACATGTTGCTTATAAATATTTAGCGAGAGCTGGCCTCATAATTACTTTGATTACCAAATACACTTAATGCATATTCCTCACTTATTTCTAGAATTACTTTCTGAATTTTGTGTTTCAGTCTAAATACAAGATCAGATCGGTCACTCATTTGTCGCATTTCACTAGCCACAAATTCTCCAAATATTGAAAATTCATCTTTGTTTTTCTTTTCTGAAAGAATTTCCCAGCACGTTGTATGGAAATTTTCTAACTCATCAATTCTTTTTCTTTTTGTCTTCATGACACTTGTTAAATATGGAGGCGCAGGTGAAGAAATGGGAGACGACGCTGCTAACGATGTCTGACTGTCTTGTAAGTTGCTGTACGATGTTGAAGGATAACTCTCTACTTCTATTACATTAGTAGTGAGTTCCATTGCAGGTTTCACGTCTTCCGCATCAATACTTTGACTGTTATACTCTGCAACCTGCAATGAAAAAAGGGTAGTTTCAATCGGTACAAAATATGTTAAAGAAAATAACTACCTACACCCACAGAAATACTCATTAGTTACTTAAGTACGGGACAATGCCCCATAATATTGTGTCGACACGAGTGGATGAGACACGACAGGAGACACAAGAGCTCAACGCGTCACCTCGAAGCTTGTAGTTTTGAGTCCTACGTTGGACTTGTTAATGTCTCTTCATTTCCATCTCTCTTCACATTTTAATGTGCGCGCGCGCGCGCGTGTGTGTGTGTGTGTGTGTGTGTGTGTGTGTGTGTGTGTGTGTGTGTTTGCGTGTGCGCGCGTTCTCTGATATTGAAATTCCAGTTTAACGCTCCATCTATTTCTTCCTTGGATTTCAACGGCTTAGTATGATAAATGATACGAGAACATGCGTCGACAGGTCACGTGGTCTCTTACTGACATATTTGAGGAACAAAAAAGGCGATATATTCTCTGTATCCTATATCATATCTTTCCTAACTAATTTTGCCTTATTGTTCAAGTACATTGCACTCGGTGCGAACTCTATGCATGAAATCACAACAAAAGCAGAAACAAGTTTTTGATACATTTTCTGATCTTACTGCTCCTTGGGATCTGAACTAGAACAATAATACTAGTTCATTTACTTTATTGCACTACAGCCTTCGAAAAAACGATAGAAAAAAATCTTTCCCCAGCTCTACGGCACCATATGAATACCATAATCTTAATTCCTTACACTGCATTCGCCCGCAAGATTACTCAGCAACAAAATTATTTGACCAGAAAGAAAATTTCTGAACTTTCAGATTCACATTGGAAATATTTCTTGGTAGTTCCTGGTTACTAGTGTTGTCGGACAAGCTCACTATTCCATTATCGCTGTTGGTAAGCAGTCATACATAGCGAACAATGGTATCTATGTTTCCTCCACCCAAGTAATATCGCTAGTTTTCATGGTCTTTCCCCTTTATGAAAATGAGTCAGAGTATAGCTTTTTCCGATTCAGGAACAATAATCTGCAAAACAAAACTAAGTAAATAACTAACACAGGGGTGATGCCCTTGCATAGAAGTGGGAAAGTATCTGAATCGAAAAAAAAGGAGAAGATTGAGATTTTTGAAAAAATTTATTGCAAGATTTATTGAAGCTTTACCGTTTCACAAAATAAAGAATATTTAAATCTATATTGGTTTTATTCTTAAAACTACTGTTTACATGTTTACTATGCAGAGATTTTGTGTGGATGCTTAAACACACGGCAAATTATATATATATGCCTTTTTAAATTCTGAGGAGGAAAAGTTTGGGTCAAGATGAAACCGTAACTGAGGAAAGTTATTTTGATGCCAGTGTGCAAATGCACTTAACTAACATCTCTGCCCCCTCACCCCGAAAATAAGCTTGATTCAAATTGTGGTAGACATAAGACTGAAAACACTACACTACATTTTCTTGTAAATTTAGCATTAAAATATATATGGAAATGTGTATATTTAAAAGAACCTAATCTCATGTTACTGGCATCATTTAATATAATATAAATTAGGAAAATCCAGAAATAGGATATGTTGGTCATTTTCTAAACAAAACTGAGAAAGTATGAACGGAAGAACACTAAGTGGAACACAGGTTCTAAATATGGTTTTTATATCAGTTATTCATAAAATCTAAGCATAAAATATTGTTTGATATTGAGAAAATCGTTAACAGACTTAATCTTAATGACCTCACATAAACCACACATTTTAAATTGCCAATCAATTTAACAAATTTCACAAATTGAACCAAATCATGATCCCGTATATGGACATACAATCTTTGCACACTAAGTAGGTATGAACAAGAAGACTCCAAACAGGATATTAACTCGAAAATGGCCATGGGAATTCATTCAATGTTTGAACTAAACTATCGATGTAAATAGTGTAAATAATTATTATCAACAATACTTTAGTTCTGTAATTTGTTCAGTTGTTGATTGGTAAGCTAAAATATCTGGTTTACTCGCATGTGTGGTTATTTAAATTAAGAATCTAAAAATAGACTGAATATATTGGCTTTCCACATTCTCCTGTGTGAACAGGTAAGAATGCCAGCACATTAAAGCGATTATTTAGGATACTGGTAACAGCAGGGCCGGATTTACCTACAAGCAAAACAAGCAGTTGCTTGGGGGCCACCATTCACCAGGGGCCCCGCGTTTAGGAAATATACGCATACCATATTTTTTTGTGCATGATAAGCTGAAAAATCTTAGTTTTGAAGACATCATCGACCAACTTTCTGCAGTGAAGAGCAGAAAAAAAAATATGTAAAATGTATTTAATGTAAGAAAATGTAACAAGTAAAAATTTCTATAAAACATTATCAGTTTTATTTGTGTCTGTACAGAAAGTACTTGTACTATAATAATTTTTTATTTAATAAAGATGGAGCTATTTTTTGGGGGGAGGGGGGGCCCAACACAATTTTGTGCTTGGGGCCCCGCACTACTTAAATCCGGCCCTGGGTAACAGTATTGTGTGTGGTTCATGTTCCATGAAACTGAACACTAACAACATGAGGTTCCACATACCCCGGTGTACCTTATATATTTCAGAAAATAGTTTCATTTCTGCACCACTTTAAGTACTCTTCAGAAAGTATCTTAACAAGCGGAATTTGTTGCAATTTATTTACGACATAGGTACGGAAAGAAGACTTCTGTTAGATTTGTAAGACATAATAGACACAAAATTCACGTGAGACTGCTCGATAGAGAATTAACCCACAAGTGCGTTTCAAACAAATTTATGAAGACAAATGTAGATCTTGGAAAAAAAATCAACAGGCCCGTATGTAATACGCAACACGCATTACGCTGGAGCACATCCACTATGCAAAATCTCGTCCTCGTCCCTTAAAAATCTATTTTTACTTCCTCCTTCAGGGGATTGGATTCTTTCTTGGGCCGTAATGTTCAAAATGGGATCTTTTTAAATCTTACGTTATAATTTTTGTCTGTTTAGCTTTTTAGGCACCTCTACACTGCATCAAGAATTCAGAAATCGATATAGAATTAAACTATTTTATATTCCGTGCAATTTAATCACAGGAGTCTTGATGTCCGTTTCTTATGAAGCGCTTAACAATATTTATACATACGCCGGACCGGGTCTTCATACGATGTCCAAGGACCGGCCTTTCAAACTTGAGTACCACTATGAAATTATTTTCGCTTTTAAAATAATTATTTATGATGTGCGTTATCAGACAAGTCGTACTAATATTATAAAAGCTGATAAAGCCCCATTCTATACTTACGATGATACAACAGCTAGAAAGAGTACCGATGATTTTTGTTCAATCATCTCTTATATCAATGAATTATTGTATGCAAACTCAAACTCATTAGGCAACTCTTTCTTCCAATTGCTCCGCCAGCCAGGACAAAATTATCGTTATCTGGCTATTGCTGGCATTGGCAGCAAAGGAAATTTGATTCAATCCATCAATATTTGCTCACCAGAGGGTACAGTTATCCATTCATTCCCCAGTTTGTAGAGTTTTCGTATTTCAAACGAACGCCAGGTGGGTAACATTTCATTGACGGTTTGCAGTAACATAAAAGGACCTTCCGGACTTGCTGAAAGAAACCCATTCGAGACACCATCAAATCCAGCTTTCCGTTCTGAAGTAGCATTGATTAGTGAAAAGACGAGAACCGAATAAAACCTCTTATTTTTTCCCATGGTCGAGAAATTCAATTCTTCGTGTCATACTGGAGCGAATTGTATGCTTATACAATGATTTTTTAATTAATTGTATTCTCCTACAGAATTTACGTTCGAGGCAGAAACGCATCAAATTAAGCATGTTTAATATTCTTTACCTGAAAGCTGCAGATTAAGCCGATTTCATACATACAGAAAAATGGGATACCCATCCATTTTACAAAGAACTAAGAGCATTACTAATTGTAACTTTAATTGCGAAGTAATTAATTTTTTTCCTTTTGAAGAATCAAAATAGGTGAACATGGGGGAATTTCTTTAGCAAGTAATCCAAGAATGACAGGAATAGCGTGTATATTAAAAGTGAATCAACCCTGTATATTATATATGACATATGTCTAAAACACAGGAAATATTAGAATATCAGGAACAGTATACAATTATATGAATAAATTTATGGAATATGATGGATATTTATGGAATTATGTGAATAAATTTACTTATTATTTTAAGACTAATTTTCAAATATATTTCCAAAATAAAGTAGTTCAATAAAATACACGAGGAAAATTAAAATCACCTAGTCGAGACTACAACAGCACACACATACTCGTACTATTTGTAACAGTTAAATAGTATAATACTGGCTGAACCCGTGAGAAAATTTCCCACTTTGAACTAGACTGCTCGTTATTGCGGCCAGGGATGGCTTACTTCCCTATCTTAGGGATGTATATCCTGGATGGTCTTAATGACCCATCATACGCAGCCACGAGTGTTTCAAATCAGGCAAAATATTTGCCCAGATTGGGATTTGAAATGAAACCCGTAAATTCCGAGATCGAAACTATTATACATTACTCAGAGGTTTCCAAACGGTTTTAACTGCGAACTAAACTGTTAATTAAGGAGAGAGCGCGAGATATCTAGAAATCAACTGTAAATCGATACAGTAATTTCACAATTTTACAACAGGAATTAATGAACGTGGGATAACTGGGCATTACTTTTTTTTCAACATTACATTTGCACCTTCACAACTTCTACGAGGAAGAAAAAAATAATCTAACTCGAAAATTCGCTCATGCTTAACAACGAAAAATATCAATTTAAAAATATTAAATAAGTGGTACGGAAACACATACTTTCACGTAGATAATATAATACTGCAAACTGTATTCTACTAATTCTTCGGCGATCTCGTGAAACATTATTCACCAAAAGAAATGGGGGAGACTCGAGTGATTGTCATTAGATCCGTAAATGAAGTGGATGTGTTAGTCACGGGAGGTGGTGGGATTCTTCCTCGGCTGGATGGTGATAGAAAACCTACACGTCGCCTTGCGGGGTTCTTCCCAGTCGAGACAAGCTCGAAGCTCCCGGCCGGTCCACCGACATGTGTGTTAGCGTAGTACATGTAAGTGTGTGAAAGGTGGGAGAATAGGGCAAAGAAGAGGAAGAAAAGATCGCGCGCGGTTCATGGCCCGTTTGATAGGGTACTACTCCCGCATTTACCTGGTGTTGATAGGGAGAAACCACGGAAAACTACGTTGGAATTCTAGCCGACCGCTAGAATTCTCTCCCAGACGGCGACTTAATTCGACCTAGCTATCTAGTTGGTGCCAAAAAAACCCTGTGTGTCGAGACTAGAATTTCTCGGACAGAGTCGGCGAAGAAACTGGCATCAGTTTATGTCCTGACCTACCTCGGCCAGAAGATCCGAATTTGCAATTCAGCAGGAAGATTCGCAATTGTCGGAAACTTGCAGACTTTAATGAAAACGGAACTGATACCACACTTAAGAGCACGTCGCTCTATTCGAAAAGAAAGAAAAAATATCTGACAACAGTACAAATTGAACGTAAACTCGGCCTTCAGTCAGATCCGTAGATCAGAGCGCTGGCCACGGCGGCAGCAGAACATAGCAACGGAATAGTAAACAGAAAAACATGACAAAATTCTTATTAGTTATCAGACAATTATTCCAAAACTACTAATTTTCGAAATAAAATGCTTTATTGGTGCAAACGAAAAATTAAAGAAAAGACTTGGAGCCGTTTTTGAGAAAATTTCGTTTATATATTTTTTTAATCTCCACGATTGCACGCAATATTAGGCGAAAACTTTCAAAAAGCTACAGTGTCATTATTTAAAACTTTCAGTCCCAAGAATGAATTACATTACAAAAATATGTTTTTCCAGGAATGTAATAGTTGGTGAACGTCGAAAACAGTAAATTATTGCAATTTTTTAATGAAATTCGGACCTGCGCCGTACTTATACGAATGAATTCTTCTAATCAAGGAAATTATGTAGATACAAATTGAAGCTATTTTTGAGAAAAGTTTGAATATGTCGTAAGAGCTTCGTGAAAAGTTAACTCCCTAAAATTACAATTTCTGCTTCAAATTCGCGCGACCTCAAGTGCGCTATACTTGATATCCATTTTGAAAACAATCTTTAACGGTTTAGAAGCTAGCTTTAGAAGACATTTTGGTGAAAACTTTTTTGGTATCGAGGTCCCACAAAACATTGCATATGACTGCATATTAAGGAAAGTGATTTACTAAATAAAGGACCAAGAAAATTTCACATCCAAAAAAAATTTCCATATCGGCGATCCACTGAACGAGTTTTCTGTCGAAAATTTGCACTTTTACCTGCTTTCTCTGTACTACCAATAGTAGTATACGAGTAAGGAAAAATTTGAACTTATTTTCATTTGGGAATCACTTAAACGTTCACTCATTCCCAATTCACTAAATGGCTGCCACTTATTTTTTGCTTCTCCCAGCACAAATTGCAAACGTGCTCAGTATACCAGAGGTAAATTCTTATAATATATTCGAATCTTAATATTAATATAACATATTTACAGCAAATGAATTTGGTGTAACGATTTTCTGTTACGCTCTGAGAATGAGGAAATTTCTCATCAACTTTGGTGTTTTGAGTGAATAAAATTAAGACATATTTATAGATCAAATCTTACTTTCATCTTATGGAAAATGTAGATAAGAAGTAGATGTATTCTCACCCTCTGATCTGGCGTTGACCACTCCTCTGAATGGGAGAACATAAATCTCAATTGGTCATAGTGCTCCCATTTGGACGAGTATGTTCTACCACTGCTATGTTCCATTTTTCGTATCTTCCCGGTCTCCTTGGAGTATTGAGCACGCAAAGTATGAAGTTTCCTTTTTATTTCTTCGGTGGGTATATCTGTAAAAAGTGGGAAGTACTCTTCTACACAAATATTTTGCACAACAGTGACACATCCAACATGCAGATTCAAACACCGAAATAAATACCTAAAATCGCCGCAATCTCCTCGTAGGCCAGCCGTCGGCGGGCATGGTTCCTGTACTCGCAGCTCTTGACGTGCCAGAGGCATTCACGCGCCTTCACGAGCTCGATGAGGAGCTTGATTTTGTCGCTGCTCCACATGCTGGCCATGCGGCGCGACCCGGCCCAGTGCTGCGCAGCAGGCTTCGACGCGGAGCAGCCTGCCGGCCTGGGCGCGGGGGCGAGGACGAAGGCGAGGGTGGGGACGGGGCGGGAGAGGGCGCAACCGCAACCGCAACCTGCCCCCCACGCCGCGAACGTCCGCAGCACGGCAGCTGCAGCCAACGCGCGCGCGCTCCGGGCCGGGCGGCGCAGGAGGCGCTTCGCGCCGCGAGCTGCGAGCTGGGCGCTGCTGGCGGCAGCCGCCCGCAACTGCACCGCAGCCCGCCCGCTACCCGCCGCCGCGGCCGCTTCGAGCGGGCGAACACGGCGCACGCGATATTTCCGAGTTGGCCCGGGCACGCGGTTTCGCGCTTGGCCGCAGGTTTGTACAATAGCAGCTTTTATTTGTCGCAAGAAGATAAATCTTGTTCATATATGAAGTAAATTATTTTCTCCAACATGTAATCAACACCCGCGTTTTCTGGGTCCTTGATACCTCTGAGAAATCCTTTTCTAGGTCCTTGATAAAATTGGTTGATGACCAAACGCCTCTCTCCGTTCGTTCGTAGTTAACACTAGTGCGTAAACCGTTCAGACGATTCTCTCCAAAACTATTTCCCGATCGATCTGGCCGAACTCGAATTGGAAATGGACATTTTTAATTTTTTGAGCGTACTTTGCACAAAGCCTTTACATTTCAAATATTTCTCAGAAACACTAATTTCATAAATTATTTTTTTCTCTCGGTTAGAGTAAAGGACGTTTAAATAATGGCACCGGTCTCGTTGTCATTGTACTCTCGTTGCTTCTTCCTGCAACTACAATATTGAATACAGAATATTTCCGCACTGAAATCTGTTCTTGAAAGTCAGATCTTTAAAAAAAATCCCATGTATAATTTTTCGAAAATACGAATAGTGTTCGTGAAATTTTGCTTTAAATAAAAGGAATCTTTTCTCAAAACCTGCTCCTATTTTATTCTTCAACTTTCTTTCTCTCGAATAGAGCGAAGTAAGAACATAAAAATGGCTTGTCCCATTTTCCGTGAACACTTAATACTTTCGAAAAATGCAAAGAAACAACTTTGCTAAACTATAATATTGATGAACTTTTCTAGATTTTTTTCGTAATGAAAGCTGTTCTAAAATGTATATTTAAATAAGGTAATTTACATTTTTTAAGAAAAGAGTCCCTTCGACGTAATTTTTGATTGAAGTTAATGAAATTTATTACATTAAGTTGGTGCTTTTCTAGCACCACTAGTTTCCTTTTCCTAATAATTCCAATGCAGAATTAAGATGTTGGGACAAATGCTCAAATTATTTCCTTTAGGAGGTTATAGAAATTAAATACAGATGTTTACGAATCATGAAAAACACATTTACTGAAATCTAACAGTGCTTAAAACGCCCTAAAAGGACTATTGATGCCTAAATAAATACTGTTTACCTAAAACTAGAAATTTTTAAGAGATATATTTTACATACTCGTTTTAAAAATTTGCTTTACCGAAACGCGAATATTCCCTAATTGAATAAGCAATCGCGAACACGCACCGAAATCTCTCACCAACACACCGACACAAGGAGCTCGGCAAGGATGTTTCACGGTCGTCTCCGCTCAGTACGCACTTCTTAGGCAATTGCACCCTTCCCATGCAGCTGCGCTGTTGACAGGCCGAGGCGTATGGCGGCAGCGGCGTGTTGCCTACGCAATCCAGGCAAAGAAAGCCGGTCAGGCAAAAGCTTCTCAGAAAGTCGACAAAATACAGCCAAGTCTTGAACCCCAAGAAAGAAAAAACGATCATTTTCTTCTCGGTGTGTGGGGTTCAGTTCCTATTTTAGCAGCTGCATTGCATAGTGTGAAGAGGAACAATGCCGAAAGACAAGTCTTCGAAAGCTTCATTAATTCGTTCCTGGCTGTCGGATTATAAAGATCGTATTTATGGCAGAAATAATTTTATCGTTTTTGTAACAAACAAGTAACAATAAAACATTTTCATTTCGCAAGGCAGATCGGCAGCTAATTTTGAAGAAATGAAAGATCTTGCGTCATTTGTTCTTTCGGGTTAAAATAGTTACAAGTTGTTTATTTGAAGTCAAATTAATGAAGTACAACTCCACCTTTCGAATCATACAAAAACTATCCATTCCTTCAGATTTCACAAGAGAGAAAATCTCACATTAACCAGCATGTATATAGTATGTCGCCGGACATATAGCAAAAGCTAAAGAAAAGAAATTACCGAAACAAACTCTGTTTACTCAGATTTCCGCGCGTTCTTTAAAAATTGCCAATTTCAATTTGATTTTGCCGGGCATTGATTGCAGCTAATATTCCACGAAACACGCTGCAAAATCAGGATACCAGTAAATTTTGGGAAAAGTATTGCTAAAAACCCACCCCATCCGAATCCGCACTCAGGAAGACAACGTGATATCGTGAGTACCAGAAAACATCTGTTGGATTTATGGAAGACATAGGAGATTCCTGTATTTGGATAGAAGTGGAGACAACATATATTACAATGTAGTAAATACATTAGATGAAAATGCACCTTACCCTCCACATCTTGTAGCAATTGGAGAGCTCCGCAAAGTTATTGGCCAGTTCATTGCCTTCGTTGTGAACAAAAGCTTAAAGTTCTTAGACGCAGCCTTTTATATGAACGCAGTCTCATCTCTTTTGATAACTTTCTACACTAGCCAGATTCACGTTACCTGTTTAGCCCATGCCTGTCCCCTGATTTCAGAAACCATACGAGATGAATTTACGCAGCCAATATCCTGATTTCCGATAATAAAAAAATTCCTGCAAAGCTCCATCTTACATTGCATATTTCAAGGAAAATCTTCCGCTCTTCCCCCTCACCCTATTCTAACTCGCTGGAACACCTGGATTAAGGCAGTTCTATATTATGTACGACATTGGAATAATATTGCTATTATGGTGCAAGATCTTCCAACTGATGACAACGTTTGTCTTGTCTGCAAAGGAACTCGTGAAAAGTCTGAGTTTAAAACAAGATCTTGTGGACATGAAGACCAATTTTGCATTCCTGCCCTCAACAAAAGTCAAGCTGAAACGCAAAGGTAAACCTTCGACAGACTTTTGTTTGTGATCCCTCTCGTAAATGTAAAAATACTTTTCATTCCTGAATAATAAAAAAATCCTAATTTAATATGGTTGCTTAGGCTTTCGCGGCCGGAGTTTGTGTTATCTAGGGTATACGGGACAAGCCACGTCACTGACACGGTGGCTAAAGTTTCGGGAAGCGTAATACGGCGTTCCTCAGAGCGTACTGCTGATACCCGGATAGCCTACATAACAATCATAATTTAATACTTTTGTGATGAGTTTAGATGTCAAAAACATATCTTTTAACGCCTGATGTTTTAGAATCGCCTGTTTAATCATTTTGTGACCAATATTAAGTATCTAAAACGTCACCGTTCGTAGTGTCTAATTTCATAATTTAGTTATATTTTGTTATGTTATCTAGTTATGAGCCGAATCATCACTTTTTTGCCTAAAATTCCGAGGTCTAGTTATAACTAACATTATTTCTGTTAGAAAATCCTGCTTCACTTCCATCAAAAGCCAGAGTGAACGTCTATAAACAATTGCTTTCATGTACGGAAATTTAATTTACATTCTTGGAAATGACAGACTGAGAGAAAGGCTGACAGACCGTCCGTCCGTCCGTCCGTCCGTCCGTCCGTCCGTCCGTCCGTCCGTCCGTCCGTCCGTCCGCCCGTCATCTGTCAGTCAGTCTGCCAGTTAGGCTGCTCTGCGATTATTTACTGTGCCTGCTGAAGAAGACATAAGTGATCGTTACCACGTCCGCAAACCCCGGCAAACCTGCTGCCGCCGCCGACCAGCCGTCACGGTCGCTGACTCAAAAAGTACTTTTGTTATTGCCAGGCATTCAGCCATACACAGCCCACACGAACATTAAAATTTACTATAAACTTTCCTTTTAAATTCACCAACAGGACCCTTGTGTATTCGCATGTGCTGTGCGCTCGTACATAGCTGGCAATAAAGTTATTACAAATGAAACTAAATTTTTAAAAAAATTAAGCAAAGAGAATTAAAGCATGCACATCCAATCACTCCCACATTTCAGCAAAAGCTGTGCATAGTGACGGAAAATACAGGTAGGTAGGGAAAAATTGGAGCCCTTTTGGAAACATTTTTTGTTGTTGTAAATGGCAATAACTTTTAAGGAGAACGAGAAGCATTAATTAAGAATGTACATGACCTTACATGAAGATCTATTTTCTTTAGAATAAAGTTCATTTAAAAAAGGATCTCCATTATCAATATTGTGCTTCTGCAATGTTATTTTTTTGCATATCTTTCAAAATAAGTGTTCGCCGACAATGGGACCAGCACAACATTTTTACAGTTAATGTTCTTTATATTATTATTAGACGTAATTTGATTAAAATTTTATTGGGAGTAGGTTGGTTTAGGTTTGGTATCTACATACGAGGAAAAAATTTGGAGCAGTTTTCCAGAAAATAATTCTTTAAAAATTGCCCATACTTCAGGCAAAATTATGCCAAAACTGCTCATATTTGAGAAAAATTATACATCACCATATTTTAAGATGTGCTTGAAAAACACATTTCACTCAAGAAATAATCTATCTTCAATACTGTGAATGAAAGAGCACGCCGAATTTTTTTGAACTTTTGTAATTTTCGAACGTTTAAAGATTTTATCGGAACTGAGATCTGCACTGTTTTTTAAGCGTTCTCAAGAAACGT